ATTATAACTATCTATCTCTATCCCCAATACCAGCACACAGACAGTCACATTATAACTATCTATCTCTATCTATATTATACTCTCCCCAATACCAGCACACAGACAGACACATTATAACTATCTATCTCTATCCCCAATACCAGCACACAGACAGACACATTATAACTATCTATCTCTATCCCCAATACCAGCACACAGACAGACACATTATAACTATCTATCTCTTTCTATATCATACTCTCCCCAATACCAGCACACAGACAGACACATTATAACTATCTATCTCTATCCCCAATACCAGCACACAGACAGTCACATTATAACTATCTATCTCTATCTATATTATACTCTCCCCAATACCAACACACAGACAGACACATTATAACTATCTATCTCTATCCCCAATACCAGCACACAGACAGACACATTATAACTATCTATCTCTATCCCCAATACCAGCACACAGACAGACACATTATAACTATCTATCTCTTTCTATATCATACTCTCCCCAATACCAACACACAGACAGTCACATTATAACTATCTATCTCTATCCCCAATACCAGCACACAGACACATTATAACTATCTATCTCTATCCCCAATACCAGCACATAGACAGACACATTATAACTATCTATCTCTATCTATATTATACTCTCCCCAATACCAGCACACAGACAGACACATTATAACTATCTATCTCTATCCCCAATACCAGCACACAGACACATTATAACTATCTATCTCTTTCTATATCATACTCTCCCCAATACAAGCACACAGACAGACACATTATAACTATCTATCTCTTTCTATATCATACTCTCCCCAATACCAGCACACAGACAGACACATTATAACTATCTATCTCTATCCCCAATACCAGCACACAGACAGACACATTATAACTATCTATCTCTATCCCCAATACCAACACACAGACAGACACATTATAACTATCTATCTCTATCTATCTTATACTCTCCCCAATACCAACACACAGACAGACACATTATAACTATCTATCTCTATCCCCAATACCAGCACACAGACAGACACATTATAACTATCTATCTCTATCTATCTTATACTCTCCCCAATACCAACACACAGACAGACACATTATAACTATCTATCTCTTTCTATATCATACTCTCCCCAATACCAACACACAGACAGTCACATTATAACTATCTATCTCTATCCCCAATACCAGCACACAGACAGACACATTATAACTATCTATCTCTATCCCCAATACCAGCACACAGACAGACACATTATAACTATCTATCTCTATCCCCAATACCAGCACAGAGAGAGACACATTATAACTATCTATCTCTATCTATATCATACTCTCCCCAATACCAACACACAGACAGACACATTATAACTATATATCTCTATCTATATCATACTCTCCCAATACCAGCACACAGACAGACACATTATAACTATCTATCTCTATCTATATTATACTCTCCCCAATACCAGCACACAGACAGACACATTATAACTATCTATCTCTATCCCCAATACCAACACACAGACAGACACATTATAACTATCTATCTCTATCCCCAATACCAGCACACAGACAGACACATAATAACTATCTATCTCTATCTATATCATACTCTCCCCAATACCAACACACAGACAGACACATTATAACTATCTATCTCTATCCCCAATACCAGCACACAGACAGACACATTATAACTATCTATCTCTATCTATATCATACTCTCCCAATACCAGCACACAGACAGACACATTATAACTATCTATCTCTATCTATATCATACTCTCCCAATACCAGCACACAGACAGACACATTATAACTATCTATCTCTATCTATATTATACTCTCCCCAATACCAACACACAGACAGACACATTATAACTATCTATCTCTATCGCCAATACCAGCACAGAGACAGACACATTATAACTATCTATCTCTATCTATATCATACTCTCCCCAATACCAGCACACAGACAGACACATTATAACTATCTATCTCTATCCCCAATACCAACACACAGACAGACACATTATAACTATCTATCTCTATCTATATCATACTCTCCCCAATACCAACACACAGACAGACACATTATAACTATCTATCTCTATTTATATCATACTTTCCCCAATACCAACACACAGACACATTATAACTATCTATCTCTATCTATATTATACTCTCCCAATACCAGCACACAGACAGACACATTATAACTATCTATCTCTATCTATATTATACTCTCCCCAATACCAGAACACAGACAGACACATTATAACTATCTATCTCTATCCCCAATACCAGCACACAGACAGACACATTATAACTATCTATCTCTATCCCCAATACCAGCACACAGACAGACACATTATAACTATCTATCTCTATCCCCAATACCAGCACACAGACAGACACATTATAACTATCTATCTCTATCCCCAATACCAGCACACAGACAGACACATTATAACTATCTATCTCTATCTATATCATACTCTCCCCAATACCAACACACAGACAGACACATTATAACTATCTATCTCTATCTATATCATACTCTCCCCAATACCAACACACAGACAGACACATTATAACTATCTATCTCTATCCCCAATACCAGCACACAGACAGACACATTATAACTATCTATCTCTTTCCCCAATACCAGCACACAGACAGACACATTATAACTATCTATCTCCATCTATATCATACTCTCCCCAATACCAACACACAGACAGTCACATTATAACTATCTATCTCTATCCCCAATACCAGCACACAGACAGACACATTATAACTATCTATCTCTATCTATATTATACTCTCCCAATACCAGCACACAGACAGACACATTATAACTATCTATCTCTATCTATATTATACTCTCCCCAATACCAGCAAACAGACAGACACATTATAACTATCTATCTCTATCTATATCATACTCTCCCAATACCAGCACACAGACAGTCACATTATAACTATCTATCTCTATCTATATCATACTCTCCCAATACCATCACACAGACAGACACATTATAACTATCTATCTCTATCTATATCATACTCTCCCAATACCAGCACACAGACAGTCACATTATAACTATCTATCTCTATCTATATCATACTTTCCCCAATACCAACACACAGACAGACACATTATAACTATCTATCTCTATCCCCAATACCAGCACACAGACAGACACATAATAACTATCTATCTCTATCTATATCATACTCTCCCCAATACCAACACACAGACAGACACATTATAACTATCTATCTCTATCCCCAATACAGACAGACACATTATAACTATCTATCTCTTTCCCCAATACCAGCACAGAGAGAGACACATTATAACTATCTATCTCCATCTATATCATACTCTCCCCAATACCAACACACAGACAGTCACATTATAACTATCTATCTCTATCTATATTATACTCTCCCAATACCAGCACACACAGACAGACACATTATAACTATATATCTCTATCTATATCATACTCTCCCAATACCAGCACACAGACAGACACATTATAACTTTCTTTGAGTCCATATAAGGATGTCAGAGATAGAGGATAGAATTTCTTTCTCCTGGCTGGCTCAGATATTACCTGTTTATTCCAGTGTCTGTTCTTATGGTAATGACGTCACAGCATTTTCAAATTCCAAAAAAAGAATCCAAAATCCCCCCAGCCTCCACTTATCCTGCAAAAATCTAATTCTCAAAGATTTCAAAATCACATTAAGTTGAAATTTCTTTTCTGTTGCAGATAAAAAAAATGTAGATTTTCTATGTAACATGTGACTTAATTACAGAGAAATATTTACCATATTTTGACTTTTGTGTAAATGCCTTATTTATCCTTAACCCCCCCAGTTTCATTCACTGAATTAACCTAATTAATGTCTGCTCCGTGTGTCACACCTTAACACAATGAGTTACTTCTGGCAACTTTTATTTCATAACATTGAATGACACAGGGGGAATATGAACCTATTATTATAATATATGTTATACACACCCTGAAATACAACAGCTTACAATGTAGTAACAATTTAGCAGGAAGTTAACTTTATTATTCCTAATATTTACTAAACATTTATACTTTGATATTAAAATATATCCCTGCTTGGCTCAGTAAGATTATCTGAATAAATACATATATATATATTGATCTATGTATCTATATACAAGCACACACTTACAGTTATATAAACAGTGTCACAGTAAATATATATCTATATCAATAACTGTTTGTGGCTGCTTGGATATAGATACATGGATTAATATTTATTTTTAAACTGTGTGACAGTAAATATTTATTTGAATTTCTTACATTGATACAATGCACTCACATAGTTACAGGTATATAACTATCTCAATAACTCATTTGGAAACAATTCTTGCTTTTGAAGAGGGGTCAGTACAGTAATATTTGAAATGATGTTAAATAACGTGTCTGCTTGTTGTTTTAGATTTGAGAGATCTTTCTATTGTATTTCAGAATTTTTTTCTTTTCACTTGCAAACAGACCCATCCCCATTGTGTTTACTTGGAATACAAAAAGCTGCATTTCTGTTGCTGGTGTGGGGGGAGGGTCCTGTACTTACTGAGCAAAAAAAAAAAGTTGATGTTTTGTTTCCATTGAGCCAGAAGCATGGACAGCAGACAGCCAGAACTACATCTCCCAGCAGCCTTTGCTGCTCTGCCCCCCACCAAGCTCCAGATCAATAGAGGCTTATTTGAATAATCTGTGAGTTTTTCTCTGGATCCAGGCCAATCAGCTGTCAGGGGCACTTGATAAATTGCAATGCATTATTGATAATCATAATTACTGTGACATGCGCAGAGCTCCCTGGAGGGGGGGTAATTGGCAGACTCCTGGAATTTGTGCCAGAGGAGGCTTTTATTGACACTCTTTGGCTCCTGAGTCCTAATGCTTGGATCATGTCGAGAAGAAAGCAGGCTAAGCCCCAGCATCTTAACTCAGAGGGCCAACTCATGGAGACCTGTGGTAAGTGTCCCTCTCCTGCTCAGACCCCTGGGGCACATCTGGGGGGTGGGCTCCCCAGGAAACACTCACTTGGGGTGAATTTTATAATTGTTTTATTTAATTTTTAATTGTTTTTTCTTTTCGGGACTTTGGACCCTGACCCCATCCCACTGCCCATCCATGTGTGAGCAGCAGGCGGGTTTGGTTTAATTTTAGGAAATCTTACAGTACCCCCTACTTGGCTCCGGGTCTCTAACCGTGATATAATTCTATGGATTTATTAAAACGATCTGATTCTTGTTTCTCTGTTGGATCTGGATCCCACCGATAACGGCAACTTTTATTTTGTGAATTTGTCTTTAACAAAAACTATAAATTTATTTAATTTTTCCGGATTTCTATCAGTTTTCGAGAGCCGGTATTTAACGGTGATCAGCGCTTTATTTATGTAATTTTGTTATTTTTATTTTCCTGTTCTGGATCAGCACGTGTTCTCACAGATCCGCTGAGTTTAATGTTTTGGGATTTTTTATTTTTTTTTGCTTGTCCCTGTAATATTTGACTCTCTGCTTCCGACACCTGTTTTTACGTGGGAGATTTTAGGGGTGTAGGAGGGGGGGGGTCATAGCATGATGTCCATATATCTGCTGACTGTGAGTGGATTTTATTTTTAACGCACTCCTTGCTCCCCATCCTCCATACACCCCAAACCCTGCTACCCTCAGTAATCTCTCAGGATACTCCTATTGAGTGTTGGCTGGAGGTGATGGCATTCCTCTCTGCTCCATTATTGAAGCCTTTCAGACGCTGTGCAACAGTTGCTAATCTTAAAACCCATTTTATATCGATATATTTCTGTCTTGGGCTAGGATATGTTTATTGATAGAATATAAATATTATGCAATTTATTTGTAAACAATGTGCAGAGTGTTGATACAATTGTTGCGAGTTCTGGTAAAGTTTCCTGACCCTGTAACATTGTATCATATTTAGGGGGCGATGGTTCCTGGGAGTGACCTGGTGCCGTTTATCTGGCTGCTTTTTAACGCGTTCTTATCTGGGCTGTAGATCGGGGTTTGTTTTGCTGTTGGGGTCAGTTTGTATTCACTCCAGCAGTGGTAATAAATGCCATGACTTTTTTTTTTTTTTTTCTCTTTTGTGTGATGGGGGTGGAGGTGCATATAGGTTTGTGCACACTGCCGGGGTCCCACCCCTGTGAACTATACCATAAAGGAGAATTAAGTATTTAATTCCCAATACTGCCCTCTGATATCCTCCACTCTGGGCCCCTGCGGGTGCTGGACACCTAATAACCCCCACCCCATTCTCCATTGCTCTTAGTGTATCTGGCCTCCAGTGCAAGAAGTTAACACTAAATCAGGTTTTATTTTGTCGGGTTTATTTTAATTAGTTCACACACAATACACTCGTTTCTATCATTTTATAAATAAACACTGGATTGCAACATGAGCGTTCTAAATAGAACTTTTTACAAGTTATACAATCGCGCCACCTTCTGGCCTGTCATGCTCACTGCAGCTTGGACCTTGCTGTGCAGGTTAATAGCCCCCACCCCCCCCTTACTAAGTGTGTGGATGGTGTGCTATAATACAATACTTATAATTACTCTCTAACAAGACAAAGGGTAACAGCATGGGATTTTAATTTGTGGGGGGGAAATGAGCATAACTAAACAATGACATAAAACAAATCTTATGTACATTCTGTTTCAGACCCACCTTTTAAAATAATGCTTCCCCCTCGCCCCCCCTTGTGCAATCAGGAGGTCAGGAAATCCGCAGGTGGTATCCCAAAACAATGCTGCTTATTATCATCTGGCCTTTTACAACGGGGAGGGTAAATTATTTTTAACTGTACAGGATAGGTCATATTTTCCCCCCTCCCCAAAAAAAATCCTTAAATTCCTTATTCCAGAAATTAGTGTGTATATAATCTCTCTAGATTTTTCCTTTATCATATTGATTCAGTTCTGTCATTTGTAGCACCTTTTTGTGCCTCTTCACAATTTAATTTTTGTTTAATAACCCCTCCAGCCCCCAGCTGACACAACCTCCCTGCCTTGCAGTTAATATGCTAAATGTGTTGGTAAGGATTTATTTTTGTGCACTCTGCTGCCACAGTGTTTTTTTTTTTTGTTTTGTTTTTTTTTTAAGGGCTGTTAAAATCTCTAATTCACCCCAGCAGGGAGTCTGGAAGACCTTTTAATCCACCCTGGGGCCAGATGGTCAAACACCCAGTATGTGTGAGCTCTGAGCTATAAGGCATGTGGTGCACTGCCTATTGTAAATGGAATTTATTCACTAAAGTGTGAATTGTCACAAATTTCATCCAAACTCTCTCAAAATGTTTCTAGTCTGACTATTTTTGTTCCAAATGTGAAAATCTTGTTTTCGTGAATTATTCAGGAAGCTTAACCCATTCATAAACATAGCAGTTTCTCTGAAACTATGTTTATAAAACAATGGGTTTATACAGAGAAATAACTTGAATTCCACTGCAGTTATGACTAAACTCCAAATTGTAATAAACTGAAACCTGAGGGGGAAGTTCTAGGTTTAAAATGACATTTTAAATTGGGGAAAAAAGTTAAGAATCTCCAATTTTGGCAGTTCTGACACTTTTTTTTTTTTTTGGCATTGTCCGATAAACTGACCATAACACCATGATAAATGGTCATTTTTGTTGGTTTACAGACCGATATACTACACAGTGATATCAAGAATAGAGATCCCAACTCATAGGCTTCTATCCAGTGCCCCTACAAAGTGTCCTACAGGCCTGTGAGCTGCATCCTAGACCCCCTATCTAGACCGTTCCAGTGTGACCGTAAATCGACCCTCTTCCTGCCAATGGTTGGTGTAACCTCTGGCTATTCCTGCTTTCTGTGGGTGGTAATCTGATGTCAAGTTTACAATTAGGCCCTTACAATTGACCTTGGCAGCAGGGTATCCCTTAAACACAGCCATGGCGTGATGTGAACCTGTTTTATAGTCCTCGTTGTCACTGGAGGAAACTGACTCTGAAAGGGACTGGTACATTGAACGTTTCCTCCAAAGGTCACATTGTGTCAGGGTTTTGTATCTTTGTCTTTTTTCAGACGTTGTTGTTGTTGTTGTTGTTGTTGTTGTTGTTGTTGTTATTGTGTATGTCTCCCTCTCCCTCTCCCGGACAGTTCCATGCTGGGAGAGAACATTCAATGGGTGGGGAAGATGGGATAACTAGGCAGGTTCTGGGTGCCTGCTATAATTACTTATTAAAAGGTCCCATTTTCAGTTCACCCTGACAAATCCACTGTGTGTCATACCTGTAAGTGTGACAGTATTATTATAAGTAGTGTATGGGTTTTATTGCTTTGTTTTCCTTGCAGAATATTTAGATTTTTAATAAACCACCCTTACTTAAAGGACCACTATAGTGCCCTGAGGGTGCCCCCATCCTCAGGGTCCCACTCCCGCCCGGCTCTGGAAGGGGGAAAGGGGGAAAAAAAGTACCTTTTTCCAGCACTGGGCGGGGAGCTCTCCTTCTGCTCTCCTCCTCCGATCCTCCCCATCGGCTGAATACGCACGCGCGGCAAGAGTTGCGCGCGCTTTCAGCCGGTCGCATAGGAAAGCATTCACAGTGAGAAGCACGCAAGCGCCTCTAGCAGCTGTCAATGAGACAGCCACTAGAGGAATTGGGGGGAAGCTTAACCCATTCATAAACATAGCAGTTTCTCTGAAACTATGTTTATAAAACAATGGGTTAACCCTAGAAGGACCTGGCACCCAGACCACTTCATTAAGCTGACGTGGTCTGGGTGCCTAGAGTGGTCCTTTAAAGGGGCACCCACTGCCCAAATGAAAAAACTAACTTGGTGAGAACAAGTGTGCATGCAGCTCTCTTGTTTGCAGCCTTTGCAAGCCCTCCCCTTCTAACCCCGCCCAGACTTTCTGTGGCTGCCCAATCACAGACTTCCCAATGCAGCTCAATGAGAAGTCTTTACAAGGCAGGTGCCCTGGGCAATTGCTGCCTCTTGAGTTTATCTCCTCTGAGCTAAACAAACCAGGAAGTAACAGGACTGGGTGTCTGACAGGTTGGGGGGAATAACAAAGTTAAATTATAAAAGTGACAATTTCTATATAAACTGGCACATCTTGTATAATGGGGAGGAGGGGGTGTCTAGGGTGGCCCTTTTAATTCTATGAAATGTACTGCAATGACAGCCTGATGTAGTGTAAAGTCCATCTTTCTGGTGATAAATTAGTGATGATAAATTAGTTATCTAAATTAGATGAGAAAAAAATTTTTTTGCAGTAAAGTCTCTTCACCTTAACAGGCTATTAAAGGTTATTAACGAATACAGCAAACTTACATTGAGTTTTTTTTAATATTTTTTTTTTTTCCTCTCTCCCTCATCTCTAACTCAGTCTAGTATATAACGTACTTATCTGATACTAGTTTTTGCCTAGTACTAGTCTGCATCATGTGATCACAATGACCTCCTGTGATGGCTACATGTGGGCCCTGCAGACTGGGCTCTGGCCCACCCCATTGTCGTTGACTGCATGACCAAGTGCTATTGGTTGAACATGCAGTAGTAAGGCCAACAATAGCTTTTTAACATTGTAAACCTCGTACAGACACAAACACCGCTGTAAGATACAACATGTTGTGCAAGATGACCTGTAAGCTTGCAATCTAATGGAAGGAAAACCTCCTTGATTACACAGCAGACATACTCCGCTGAAGGAAAGTGGGGTCTTTAGCGCTATCATCATTACGGCAGGAAGTAATGTGTGACTGTGTATATGTGGTTTTGTGTTCGATGATGGCTAATCTCCTGTGCATTATTAAAGGGTTACTTCAACCAAAAAGCAGTTTGTTTTTTCGTGTATACTCTAGACACCATAACAACTAAAGTGTGCTATAGTTGTTATGGTGTCAGGAGTACCCTGACATCCCATATTTTAAATAATCAAACCATTTCCGAACACTTTGATTGTGACCTGGGACCCACCACAATAATACTACTTCCCATGGAGAGCCTGTCTCTGGGGAGAAGGATTGAGGTCAGGAGGATCAAGCAGAAGGAAAACGTGGCCTTGGCATAGCATGGAAAGGGTTTATCTTTATGCAGGGAGCATGCCAGCAAGGGTTCGGTAGTAATTTTGTGGAGTTCATATTTATTTGGATGGACTATTTTTATGTTTGGGTGTTTTTTTGTTTTTTTTGTTTTGTTTTTTAACAAAAATAAGCCATTCCAGGACTATGTACACATCCTGGAAAAACTTGCCATTCTGAAATAAAATGTTTTAGGTTTTTTTTTTTTTTTCTTTGTCTTGTGTGTGTATATAAACTTAAGACTTTCTTTTTCCTGTTTTGTCACAGACCAGCAAAACACTCCAAATGACGATGTGGATGCTGACGGGAAAGTGAAAATGTGTCGGAGAGAAGAAACTCATGTCTGTGAGAAATGCTGTGGTGAATTCTTTGACCATTCTGAGTTTTCAGCCCATCAACAGACGTGTGACAAAAAGGCACGTGTTCTTATTGTGAATGACAGTGAAGCAGGGATGTCTGACTCCTTTGTCCCACCAACTGCTGAAGGTGCCTCCTCTGAGCTATTGGAGGGTCAAGACACAAAGGTTTTTAAGACCAGTAGCTCAGTTTGTTCCACTGAGAAACCGGAAGTAAAGATGGATTCTACTAACCTAAAAACTGTCCCTTTACCTACTCCGAAGACTAATGGTCATGGCTGCTTGCCAAAAACCAGTGTATCCAACACTAACGTGACTTTACAGACTATCAATACCACTAAAGTAGCTGTTAATCAACATACGTCCAATGGTGTTACAAGTTTGAACACAAATACCAATACCATTTCCATGATTCTTGAGCAATTGGTATGTTTACAACAGCAGCAACTGCAACAAATCCAACTCACCGAGCAAATTCGCCTTCAGATAGCCAGGATGGCTCCCAACTCTGTGCATCCATCAATCGCTGCGGCCACTGAGCCAATCAAGAGTTTGGGTGCACACCTATCTCAGCAGCTTTCTGCTGCTGTTGCTTTGCTTGGACAGAAAGCTGGAACGCAAAATCTTGCCCTGGAGTCTCAAAAGCAAGCTAAGCTTCCTCCTAGTAACCTATCTATACCACTGGGAACTGTACCCATCACTCTCTCCAACTCTCTTCTGAAAACTGAGCCTTCTAGGGGAATACCTGCTGCTGTTCCTCGGTTTTCAAACCCTGTGTTACCTCTTTCACCAGGGACTGTTATTTTCCAGAATCCACTTTCAGCAGCAGACCAAATGAAGAAACTCAAAGGGAAGTTTCCAAGCATTGCTATAGCTGAGAACAAACCCAACGGTGAAGACCAACTGTTCAAACATAAATGTAAGTTCTGTGGCAAGGTGTTTGGCAATGATAGTGCTCTTCAAATACACTTGCGTTCTCATACTGGAGAGCGACCTTATAAATGTAACATTTGTGGAAATCGGTTTACCACCAAAGGGAACTTAAAAGTTCACTTCCAACGACACCGGGATAAATATCCACATATAAGAATGAATCCACACCCTGTGCCTGAGGACTTGGATAATGTGCCTACAGCAAGCGGAATTCCATATGGCATGTCTGTACCAATGGATGAGTCGAATGTACTTGTAGATTTAAAACCAATCCTGACACAACTTCCCAACTCTGGGATAAACACTGGATTCATAGATCCATCATCTGTCCTTATACCACCCAACATGCAGTCCAAGCCATCCCCTGGAAGTGAAGGAGAATCTGTATCATCTGGGGCTTTTGGACACGAGTCTGGAACCGAACACAGCTTAAATTCCCCACCTATGAGTGGATCAAGTGAGCAGGGATCGGAGACCAGCAAGCTTCAGCAAATGGTGGAGAACATTGATAAATCTGGATCTGATCCCAATGAGTGCACAGTATGCCATAGAATCTTGAGTTGCCCTAGTTCACTAAAAATGCATTACCGTACACACACCGGTGAAAGACCTCACACGTGCAAGATTTGTGGAAGAGCATTTAGTACAAGAAGCAATCTCAAAACTCACTACAATGTTCACCGTGCAAATGCCACTCTGAAGATGCAGCATTCATGTCCGATCTGTCAGAAGAAATTCACAAATGCAGTAGTTTTGCAACAACATATACGGATGCACATGGAGGGCCGTCTCCCAAACAGCCTCACAAATGATGGTGCTGGTGAAGATATTGACCCAGCCATGCTTGAAGAAAAAATCCGTGAATTGAGCAAAATATTTGCAGAAGAGAATGATGACGATCAAGAGATGGAAGATTTAGAAAATACAAATGCTTCCTTGGGGTCTAAGCCTTCTTCACCACAAAGTGAGACAACTGCAGAATTGCCAGCCAGCCAGTTAACCCCTCTTGCACCTGATGAGAGCCAAACAAATATGCCACCAGCTCTGAATTTGCACTGGCAAAACAGTGTAAGATCCAGTGATAACGTTTCACTGGAATGTGATGACTTGACCGATTCGTCAACCTCTGGAGATCATGACACTCTTAATGCTAAAAGTCCTATGGAGTCTGAATCTAGGGCGCTTTCACCCACCAATAGTCATGACAGCATTCCATCAAAGTCTCCCCCTTCTTACAATGGCAACGATGACATCGGTATGACCAATAGCGAAGTGTCAGAGAATGGCTTGCATGATCCAGATAATGGGGCCTTGGATCTCACAAATGGTGGCTTATCTCGGAAAATTAAAGAAGAACCAGGTCTGGTGCAGAATGGAGAATTTGGTAATTGAGCTTTGTGGGTTGTTGTTGTTGTTGTTGTTGTTTTTTGTTTTTGTTTTTTCTCATATTTTACTGCTGTGTTAATTTGTAAATCTATCTTAACCTATAGTATAGAACAATGATCTCCTGCACTGTGCAACACACCATCTGTGTGGGTTTTCCATTTCATCTCCCCACTGTTTTGGAGAGGGATGTCCTATTGTGGAACTGTGACAGCCTTGGCTGTACATGATACCTTAGAGTTTTATCTATCAAGTTGTCTCTTTACATCCACAGAAGAATAACCACTTTCTTTGTTTAATTTCCTTGCAGGCAAGAGTGCAAACCTGCCTGTCAATGCACCACCCGCACTTATCAAAATGGAGAGACCTGCAGACCGCATTGTGGGAACTGCGCAGTTTATAGCACCACCAATTCTTGCACCTGGATTAATGCCGCTTCTTGTTCCTCAACGTCGCTCGGCAAGGCAGCATCTATGTCAGACATGTGGCAAGCACTTCTCCTCTGCATCTGCCCTTCAGATCCACGAAAGGACCCATACGGGGGAGAAGCCTTTTGCATGTCAAGTATGTGGAAGAGCTTTCACCACCAAAGGAAATCTGAAGGTTTGCAGATTATATATATATATATTTTTTTATTTAACCAGTGTTTCATGTGTTGTATAGTCCAAATATTCTAAACCTGTGTTCTTGGCACAATTTGTTCACATTAGATTTGATCATTTCAAAATCCAAATTATTCCAAATGTGAATTATTCATTCAGGTTTGTTGATGGGGTCTATATGCTGTGAATATAGAAAGTCTCCTTAAAGTTAACTATTACGTTTGGAGGCCTGTCACAATGAGGTTTTATATAACTTAAATTTATTTATATATTTTTATTTTTTGTAATTATATATTTTAGGATAGATATGTAATTTTTTTTTATTTTGTTACTGATTTTGGGTGGACTCTGTTCTATCACCAGTGAAAGGGTTTATTTTTGTTTGTTTGTTTGTTCCTCACTATATGCATTGATTCTCCTAATTTTTATCTTCTACTCCCTCATACAGGTTCATGTTGGGACTCATATGTGGAATAATGCTGCTCGGAGAGGAAGAAGACTATCAATGGATAGTACGTTGCCTTCACTAGGAAGTGACGGCAAAGCGGGGGATCTACTTCCAAAGTATCTTGTTCCATCTTCAGTAAGCATGGACCCAACTATGTGGAATCAATATGCCGCTGCTTTTACCAATGGCTTGGCCATGAAGACCAATGAAATCTCTGTTATACAAACCGGAGGCATTCCAAGTGGTGTACCCACACTTCCTGTGAGCAATGGGGCAATGAGTACAGCAACGGTGTCTACTATCGAGGCCTCACAGTCTGGTGTAAACAGAATCCTTTCTGGAATGGAGGAGGTTGGTGCTGAAAATGCACCAAAACACCAGTTTACTCACTTTATGGAAGAAAATATTGCTGTGAACTGAAACAAGGAACACTTACTTTGGGTGGGAAACTGCTAAATGGTCACTTGACACTTCATTTGTGGGGTTTTTATTTTTTTTTCCCCCTTCCCTCCATTTTCCACTCTACGGCTGGCTCGTCACCAGAAACCTTCCCCAGTGCCAGATTAACAAGTGGTTATCTTTCTGGCGTCACCCCCAACTGGCCGTCTAGGGTTATCGATCATTTTATTTGTTTTTGGTTTGGGTATTTTTTATTTTTTTTGAAGAACATTAACTAAATGATGGACAGATTGACCCAGATCTGCCACCTTTCTTTAAACTCTACCGTTGGTTTCCAAAGGTCAAAATGTTTACCTCTTTGACTCAAATCCTAAACAAGGTTGAATTAAAAAAAAAAAAAAAAAAAACTTTATAATTGTGAGAACAGTTTACTGCTTGTGTTTAATACAAAATATGCGGGTAAATATATGTATAAAACTTGTAGACATAGACTTCTTGAATGTAAGACTTTTTTGTTGTTGGCAGCCAAGACTAGAAGTCCGGCCGGCTACCTGATTTCTGATACACGGCTCTGCGTGCGACTCTGAGAATGCCGTATTCTAGTCTGAAGACTCTCTACTTGGAAGACCTGCCAATTTATTTCTGGATTTTTTTTTTTTTTTTGGCAGCCAGGAAGTAACCATGTAAGGCCTACGCGTTCTCGCAGAAACTTGCTTTCTGTAACTGCTGTCTCGCCCTCCCTCCTACCACACGCACACTGTGTTGGGTTGTTCTTTTTGACATGGGATTCAGAAAAACTGAGATGTAACAAGCTTTAAAAATCCCCTTAAAACTAGCAGTATTAAATTGTGATCTACCTTGACCATTTATTTTGACTGGTTTCAGGAAGAACTGTTTACATGACCTACCTCTACATGATTTTAACCCAAGATCTTTATACTGTACAATATTTGGCACTGGAACTGTTGGTATTACAAATATTTTCATTTTTTTTTTTTTGTCTTCCCCCACCATTCCCTTGTAAATATAAAATGATTTTTTTATTTTTATTTTATTTTCCTGTTCTTTGAAATCCTGAAGGCCAAAATACCCACATTACCAAAAAGACTGCACGTGTGTTAACTTGCCGTTTTGTGCCTTTCCTGGTGGACTGGTGTCCTATGAACGCAGTTCCTGTTTACATTGTAAATCGTATTATGCGACCGGCATTGAAGTAACCTGTTTCTGTGATGTGAATGTAATATATGCCTATTATGGCCTCTAGCTTTTTGGTCTCTCCATGAATGTATTATTCATCGTAAAGACTGGGGGGGGGGTTTGTTTTGGCTTTTTTGGGGGGGGGAGGTTTCTGGTTTCTGGAAAAACTTACTACTGAAGAGTGACTGACTGGATTAAACTAAATTTGAAAGAATTAATCTTGGGGGAGATTCCCCTATCCCTCCTTTACGTCTACATGTAATCACCAAAACTTGGCATTTTCAGACACTTTTATGGATTAAAATGTATTAATGAAGGTTTAGAGATGTCGACTGTGTATAAGAATTGTAGGGAATTACAATGATTTCAGACATATCGTAACCCTCATCAATTAATTTTAACACTACTAGGGGTTGGGTAGTAGATGGAAAATTGGTCAAAGTAGACCTCTTACACTTTTTTTTTTTTTTTTTCTAACATTTCTTGTCCTCGAACTTGTGATTTTGAAGCATGCTGTCTGTGTGGCAACATTGACCTGTCATCCAGTGCTTCATGTTTGCCAAATGTGGTGATTAACTTTTTGCATGATGGAATATTGATAAGGCAGCAGATTAAAAAAAAAAAATGTGATTGAAACCTGTCCCCTCTCTCCATGAAAAGGATTCTGTCTTAGAATTCCAACTATGTCCTTTGTTTAATAGATTAGACTTTGATAGCGCATTGGGACAAACCTGTTACATCTCTCAATGTGAGACTTTCCCTGGGTGAAAGTTTTAGCAGTCTAGCATAAATTAGCTCAGCGATATATTAAAAATCTTTGGCTTAAAATCCAACCTGTGCCCGTAGAGCAGGATCGGGAAGGGGCTGCACAATATCTAGGTCTATCTGTAGTGCATGTAGAACATAAATTACTATATCATTAACTTGTAACAAAATTATTTTATTCCCAGAACAAGGGATTGTGTAGGATTTACAATCCAGTGGAATGTTTTAGGACTAATTAGCCATGCTTAAAGGACCACTATAGGCACCCAGACCACTTCCACTTAATGAAGTGGTCTGGGTGCTAGGTCCAGTTAGGGTTAACCCATTTTTCATAAACATAGCAGTTTCAGAGAAACTGCTATGTTTATTAATGGGTTAAGCCTTCCCCCTAATCCTCTAGTGGCTCTCATTGACAGCCACTAGAGGCGCTTGCGTGCTTCTCACTGTGATTTTCACAGTGAGAGCACGCCAGCGTCCATAGGAAAGCATTATGAATGCTTTCCTATGTGACCAGCTGAATGCGTGCGCATTTAGCCGACGGGGCTGAACGGAGGAGGATCGGAAGAGGAGAGCTCTCCGCCCAGTGCTGGAAAAAGGTAAGTTTTAACCCCTTTCCCCTTTCCAGAGCTGGGCGGGAGGGGGTCCCTGAGGGTGGGGGCACCCTCAGGGCACTATAGTGCCAGGAAAACGAGTATGTTTTCCTGGCACTATAGTGGTCCTTTAAAGGAACACTAAAGGGTCAGGAACACAAACATATTCCTGACCCTATAGTGCTAAAAGTTTCACAATCTGCTGCTGCTGGCTCTGCCCTTAATCTGCCTGCTTGACTGACATTATTAGAAGTGATCATCTCTGCCAATCACTATTCTTTCTCATTGGATTGGCTGAGCTTGTCAAGAAAGTGCACAAGCCAAACACAGCCCTGGCCAATCAGTATCTCCTCACAGAGATACATTGAATCAATGTAACTCGATGAGGAAAATTCAGTGTCTGCATGCAGAGGGTGGAGACACTAAATGTCAGTCACACTGTGCAGAACTGCCCCAGGAAGCACCTCTAACAGCCATCTGAGGAGTGGCCAGTAAAGTGATCACTAGGCTGTAATGTAAACACTGCATTTTCTCTGAAAAGACCATGTTTACAGTATAAAGGGTATGATCCTACTCACCAGAACAAATACAGAAAGCTGTAGTAGCTCTGGTGACTATAGTGTCCCTTCACGTTAACTCTTCCAAGTTGGCAATTTCGGCCTGTACCGTGCAATCTCACTTTAACTATTCCTGGGTAAAAATCCTAACAGACTATCCCAATAGATAAAATACTGTGGGTCCATTATCTATGTGTTGCCTTCAATAGGGTGCAGTATTTCTTGGGGTCTTATTTTTTTAAACCCCAAATGTCAAAATTCAGACAAAAATAGGCAAGTTTAGTTTATTGCCGTTAAGTGAATACCGTTCCCCCTCCCCCAACTGCTAGAGATAAACAAAAAACGAACGCTAGGCCGTGCAATAACCTGAAGGGGCCGCACCATGGGACTCTGACCACTATAACCACTTCCATAAATTATCCTTTCAATATTTTTAAAGTTGCCTGCTGTACCCCATCTCGCCCACCCATTTTACCATATCTTACTCTCTAAACGAGAGATCTGAACTTTATAGTTAAAGTTGGGGGAGGGGATTACATGCTCTGTTTTTAGTTTTATTTTGGGGGGGTTTGTTCAGTGTAAGGTTTTCATGTTTTTTGTTTTTTTTGTTGGATAGATTGAAAGTAATTACACTTTTTTTGTTTATATTAAGCAATAAAGTATCTTTCTATTTTTGAGATCTTTCTATTTCTCTTAGGCCTTAAATGTACAATTTACCGGTGACAGTGTGCCTGACAAGTCAGTGTCTAATAAATACATCAGCCTGGGCCATAACTTTATTTACAAATAACAGGCACATGGAGAGACAAAACACATCAAAGAGCTCGGTGCAAACCATATATACACTCCCTCAAGTGTTCAAGGTATCCAAACAGGTGGAGGGCTGGCAGCCTTAGGCCTGGGGGGGCAAAACCAGTCAAGTGGCCCATTGCACCACCACATCAGTTCACCATCCATGCCCACCTTTTCCTGGTTTTATAACGGATATTGATGTTATGCTAATCAGTAGCTCTTTGCCATACCCGCTCCTTCACGGCTCTGACTTTCAATGTTGTCAGAGCGCAGGCTGAGAATCTCTGAGCCTGTGCTCTGACTCACTAACTGAGCGCCAGAACCACGAGGGAGAGGATATGATCTGACTGCACCTACTGCTGGTGCGCACCAGTGGACCACCAGCGAATCGTTTAAATTGAATAGGCTGGTGTCCCCAACTTGTGAGCTGTGTTGTCCGCCGGGCGCCTCTGTTGTGATGGCACCCTGCGTGACCGCACAGCTTGCACACCCCAATGGCTAGCCCTGCTGACACATACTGATGTTATTACTTAGAAATCCCTCAGTATTAATACAGACATCAGAGTAAACACCAATAAACTGTGCAAACAGAGCTGATCCCTCCCCAATTTATAAAGATTTGTTGTAAGATTAAATCATGCCCCCTCCTCTCTCTCTCTCTCCCATGCCCTGCTCTGTAGTAATCACATTCTCCCAGCCCAGCGGCACCGGTGGCTGCATGGGGAACAGCTGTTTAATGTAATACTTGCAGGACGGCCAGCTGCCGCAGAACCTCTTTGTTCCCGTCTCTGCAAAGGGCTCCAGGCACTGCTTTCTGTGAGTGTGAGCCACTGTAAATTAGGGGCAGAGGGCACTTGCACTGCGGTAAAGACAGGTCTGGGCAGGAGGAGAGTGCAGTGCAATCAGTGCACTCCCCTCCTGTGGGTCACCAGTAGACTGGTGTACATGCCCAGAATCAGAGCCGGTGCAAGGATTTTTGCTGCCCTAGGCAAAAGAAAAATTTGCCGCCCCCCCATGTGACATCACAATGTCCCACCAATATGATCTGCCATATGAACTAATGCCAATGCTGCACACAGTGTGTGTTTACATTAAAAAGCCTGCAGGGACCGGCTATAGACACCAGAACCACTTCATTAAACTATAGTCAGTGGTGTATCCGGTTTTGTGCTGCCCTAGGCAGGACAAAACTCAGACGCCCCCTTCCCCCCGCGCCACCCCCACCCAACCCTTCCCCCCTGCCCCACCTTCTAAATACACACACAGTCAAACACATACACACACACACAGTCACATACAAACACACACACACAGTCAGACACACAGACACAAACACACACACAGTCAGACACAAACACACACAGTCAGACACTCACACACAATCACTCACATTAACTTTTTAACCCCCCCCACAGCCTCCTTACCTTTGGGAGTGCTGGGGGGTGCAGGGTCTCTCTCTCCCTGGTGGTCCAGTGGTTGCCGGTCGGGCTGGGCGGCGCTGGCTGCTGGGTGGTCGGCTGGCAAGGAAGCACTTCACCTGAGCTGACTGCTCAGCTCCCTCGCACGCCGCAGAGTGAGGCTGGGAGCCGGAAGATGACGTCATATTCCTGCTCCCAGCCTCACTCTGCGGCGCGCGAGGGAGCTGAGCAGTCAGCTCAGAGGAAGAGCTCCCTCGCCATCCGACCACCCAGCGCCGCCCGCTCGGCATGTCTGTTAGCTGCGAGGCTAACAAGGCATTTGCCCTAGGCATTTGGGGGCGGCGTTCAGTAAGTTAAGGCTAAAATAACCCAACTGTGACTGTAGCGAAATCATAGAATTTAATTATCTACGTTTTGCAATTCAGCTTTCATTCGTTGGAGTTTGTTGTTTAGTGAATGAACCCCTAAAATTGCATATTTGTGGACGTAATAGTTGGAGAATTTATTTTCAGTCTGGCTGGTTTTCCCACAGTTTTTAATCTCTTTGCCAACTTTTTGAATTGCTAGTTTAATATAAAGACCCAGCTTTTTTCCTGGGCATAAAAAACAGCTTGATTTCCAGAACATTAAAAGGTTCGGCTGGCTGTAATTTAGAATTAATTAATATTCAGCAAGAGGTAGAAACTGGGATCCAATACTGCACCCCGAGAATACTGCGTCCCGAGAATACTGCCCCCCGATACGGAGATGTTGTGTCACTGAATGATGTGAGAAAAGAGACCTTCATTTAGACAATAACCGCACCTTATGGCTGAGCGGTGATCGATTAAACATTCTGTAGCTTTGCACTGACTATAGCTGAGTTCACAAATTTCAAATCAAGATTTCAATTCATCCCAATTCCCTGTGTAGACAAATCTCACTCAGAGTTATTCACCAAAGTGAGAGTTCAAAGTTAATTTAAAATTTAAAGTCAAAATAGCCGAACTGGTAAAACTGTAAGTCCATTTGAATTCTCCCGTTAGTAAATAACCCTGAGCTTATTTAATGCTGAACATTCACTGGAAGTCTTCTGTACAGCTTGAAAGAGCTGTTCTGGTACAGCAAAAAAAGCAGATCTATTCTACAACAACCATCACTGTTCCACCAGTGTCCATAACAGAAGGAAAGTCATTAATGGGACTGCATCTCAAAGCATCCTACACACCAGCGTAACTTTGCAGATCGAGTATCACAAACCTTAAAGTGGAAAAATGTTCCACAAGCCCGGTTACCATTACTAGCTGTGAACTTAAATGCAAAATGTATAGACAAATTAACATATTACAAAAGACATTCGATTATTATTGATATACATGTAGCAGCAACACGGCCCACATCATTCTAAGTGAATGTAGCCCAAATTAAGGATCAAACTATTGGAAACATTAACATCCCAGACCAGTCCTCAAGGCACCGCTAACAGTCCAGGATTTAGTGATTACACAATTTAGAGGAAAAAAAAAACACAGACACAACTGGGTAATCCCTAAACCCTGGACTGGTACCTCGAGGATTTGGGAACCACTGGGCTAGAGGGTAATCAGGGCATTCTGACAATCCAGAGTTTATTATTAATGAAAATGGGATTAAGAATAGAATTGCACATTTTAATCCAAAATAGATGGCCTCAAAAATAGGGGATTTGAAAAATTTTCCAAATTTGGAATATTCTGGTTTAGGATTCTCAGTTCCCCATGTCAATTCTACTCAATTCCTTTAATATTATTAATATTTTTATTATATTTTTTATTGCAATCCGTCTGATTCAGCAGGGCAGCATTAATCACAGGTCAATGTCAGAGTTATTTAATAAAGTATGATTTGTCAAATTGAATTTAAAACTGAAGTCAAAAATGGAAAATAAATAAATGCTGATTTGTTTTTTTCTCCAGATTTGGCTATTGATGCCTAAATTGTGAATTTTAATTTAAATTATTTGTAATTACACTTTATTGAATTCACACTTTATTAAACTGTGTGTTTTGGGACATTTTCTGGTTTATTCACAACAAACAGCAAGTTGTACGAATTGAAGGCCTGAGTGGAACATTACAGAAGTGGTAGCCATTTTTCCAGCTTGCCGA